CCATGAGCTGGAATCATTATATACTTAGCAGGTGAGCAGTTCAATATATTCGTAGGATGCTTTGTCCCACAGCTTTTACCTATGCTGTCTACCTAACTGCCTACCTATCATGTCAGATACCAGGGTGGGAGGTGCTATTATAACACCCTGGATATCTACCTGTCTATGGTCTCATGAGGTGAAATTCACCCTTATGCAGAAGGCCAGCACAATGCCTATCCACCATCTAGGTCCCATTTTGAGGACTCAAGTGACACATAAATGATTGTTAGGCTATTTGCTGGCCCTCCGCACAGGGGTAAATTTCATCCCAATTGCCTAACACTTTGTATCTAAGCACTCTTTCAGTACTGGGGTTGAGGTAAGTCAAACATATGCTCCTCAGCCATTTTGAATTTACGATCTGCTTCACCTTATTTTCCCAATTCATTTTCTCAAAGTCTTGTAGGGCTGAGGAGAGACCTGCCAAAAATTGTAATTATATTTGGTGTTATATTCTGTGTTATGTAAATCTTCCATTTCAAAGCCATGTGAAATTCTGTTAATTTGGGTTAAAAACAGAAATAAAAGTTGTGTTTCATTCATACTTGGTTTACAGCCTTGAACTTTACAGTAAAACTCAAAATGAAACTTTTTACTATCTCTGGACAGGGACACATTTCTGGAGAATTTTGTGGTTTCATTTTGATTTCACAACAAAACTTTGTGACAGTTGATTGTAGTACATCTGCTGGATAGCCTACCTACACAATATTCACCAGTTTCAGTTTGCATTTGAACTTTGCCATATGAGACAGATGAAACATAAACCTATAGGTTACAAATCTGTCTGAACAGAAAATGACAGTAAGATTCAACAATGCGCATATGAACAAACACTAACAATTTGATCAGTTTCTGTGGGTTAAAATTCATCTAGTAGTGCTCCGCTTATCATAGGAAATTCTCCATGCCACTGCAGTTCCTCACATATAAGGAGATCTTTGTGCATGATGACATACACCCTGCATACCGTGTGATGCGGTTTGACATATGCTACCCAAATTTGCCCTGTGGAGCCAGAATCAATCCATACAATATTAATGAATTAGGGGGTCTTCTAATTCCCCTTAAAGTATCCAGAAAAAGGTATCACCCCAAACTCACAATACACAGAAATCTGCCATTTTGTAACCATGTACTTATGCTAAAGTGGTGGTCTATCTTGTTGGAATCTATTCAGGCATTTGGGGGCTTCATTAATTTCAGTAACTTAGCACGTCAATATAACACAGGCTAATGAAACACTCTCTCTATCTTACAAATCAGTCATTTCTTTTTGCATTTATGTTAACAAGAGGCTACAAGTCAAAGTGATACTTGACTTGCATATGAAAAACTTAAGAATAAAAGCCTGTCTTGAAAGAAAAGCTCAACGCAAAGTGGCTTTGACAATATACTCTATGGGATAGTTTGCTGTAATTATTATATTAACCAGATCTTTTTGTAGTAATGTCAGGTGCCTGGGTTTACCAAGTAAGGAAAGTTATTAATCTAGATAGTAGTTTTCCCAGTTTGGTCAGAATGAATTTATGAATTTCCCATGGAAGGATCTCTCATTTTGCCCCTGATTTGCTGTAGATGGAATCCTTTGCTGGGTAGAGAACGGTATATCTGCAGCAAGGTATTTTTAAATATTATTAATTTGCCTGGTATTTTTGTACTGTATAATAACCACGCCACCAAGAACCAGACTGTGACCCTGGCTATGATCCCAGGCTAGTAAGGGAGCCCCCTTAATTCCCTGGGGGCCATTACTTGCCTTCCTATAGGAGGGTTCAGGAGAGAGTACAGCCTTGGATCCATTCCCTAAAATGCCAGTCAGCACAGCTGAGCCAGTATGGCAGGGAAAGTAAATGGAGCCAGGTTTGGGGTTGGTACCGATTACCTCTCACCCTGCAGGAGCTGGGGAACCAGCAATCTGATGGTGACACTGTGAGTCAACGTCTGGTTCCTGATCTGTTCCTAGGGCTATGCAACTATGTACTGCCCCTTAGCTGGGAGTCGTGGCAAAGCCACAATTGACCTTGCAACATTTCACAATACAGAAAAAATGGCTGAGTGCTTTTCTTAAGGATAATGGAAGTGATTGAATTTAATTGTTTATAGGGGGAAATTGGTAACATACACTAGACTATCTCTTCAGGTAAGTGCAGTGTGTAATGGAGAACATTTAATCTCCCTGATCTGGGCCGGGCATCCACTTATCCCTGATCCATTGTACGGCAGCACTAAAACTTGAGTACACTTTTGACACTGGCTTGTTTTGCCTTTGGTTTGTCATCTTGTTATTTGACATACATGATCCCCCTCCCCCATTGTTGTGTTTTTCTTCTGAAACCACAGAAGACTTGTGAATTTGCAAAGATATCTGAGCTCTATTGTGCTAAATGATGCTGTCTCCTCCCATCTACAGTGGTTCAAGACTCGGATTAATTCATCATCATGATGTTCGGATTTCTCAGCACCATGTAGGGACCCTTTGCCATAACAAGCAGAGCATTTGCAGCCTGAAATGGTCCACAAACAACAAGCTGCTGGCAAGTGGGTCCAGTGATGGTCTATTGAATATCTGGCCTAATGACCCCGGTGCGACAGTGCATTGCAAGCCATTGAAAGCCATACCCCATGCCTCAGCAGTAAAGGTACAAAGGAAAAATGCTCTATTATTTTATTTCATATATAGCACATTTAACAGAGAGAATAGATATTTTTCTAAACATATTTACATGCAGTATTATTGCTGATGCAGTAGAACTATGACCTGAATAAAAGGCTGTCAAGATAAAATAGTGTAGCCTTTTATTTTATTTAAAGTGAATTTTGTAATGTGGTATTATCAGGGCCGCCCAGAGGATTCAGGGGGCCTGGGGCAAAGCAATTTCGGGGGCACCTTCCCTTAAAAAAAAAGTGCAATACTATAGAATACTATATTCTCGTGGGGGCCCCAAATTGCCCTACTTGCCCCCCCCCAGCCCCCTCCGGATGGCCCTGGATATTATACAGTGGCTACAGCTTAACAGAGTGAAAGTCACCTCTGCTACTTGCTTTAGATTTAGAGCACTGGTTACCAAACTTGTTCCGCTGCTTGTGCAGGGAAAGCCCCTGGTGGGCCGGGCCGGTTTTTGTACCTGCCACGTCCGCAGGTTCGGCCGATCACGGCTCCCAGTGGCCGCGGTTTGCTGCTTCAGGCCAATGGCCCGCGATCCTCTGGGAGCTGCGATCGGCCAAACCTGCGGATGCAGCAGGTACACAAACCGGCCCAGCCCGCCAGGGGCTTTCCCTGCACAAGCGGCGGAACAAGTTTGGGAACCACTGATTTACAGTGTTTAGGAACATACAAAGACCAAAGGTAGTGACCACATAGACATTCACAAGTAAAATAGACTAGCCGTTGTACAAGTTTTATTAAAGTTACAATTAAAGTTATGATTGCCCAAGCATATAGAAATTTTATACAGACCTATGCGCAAGTCACAAATATAGTTATACTCGCATCCTTAACAATAGTGTTAGTGTCCAGGGGTTTCTCATGAATTGCTCATCAGTAAAGGGATGGTTCCTGCTGGAGTTTCCCATAGGGAGCTCAGTTTTCCCGCTCTGGGCACCCTCTATTTATAATGTAATTCTGACTATACCTCATTAGCATTTATGGACGTAGTACACTCTGCGGTTAGGGCATGTGCTAGAAAAATGTGATTACTGGGTATCTTGTAAGCAAAAATTACTCTTACTGTTAATTTCACCCATTGGTACGTCTTTTCCTGTAATCTTAGAGCATAGGGTTAACATTTCTTATCTCTATGGCCTAGTATGGCTAAGCTAAAATCGTACAGGCCTCAGCCTGTAGGCCTTGTGCTTCAGCCCTAATTACTTAGATACCTAATGCATGATTGTTCCTTCTAACTACTGATCAATTTTATACTTCTATAATCCTACAATTTACTCTATTTAACATACAATGATTATATATGACATAACATGTTAATCATAGCAACACAATAAATGAACAATAAACTAAAATCATTGGCTACAATAGTATTTCTTCCATTGCTGTACATGGTCTTTTAAACTTTTAGGGTTGTCTGAATGGTCCTGCTTAACTTCTGCTACCCAGAATGCACTAAACTTAATTTCAGACACCAGTTCCCCTAATGAATCATTCTAGACCGCAAGTAAGTTATTAGCAGTTTTTGCTGGTGCTTTGGTTTCTCGGTGGTTTTTTTTCTTCCATTTAGGAGCTATTTTAACTATGATACCAAATAAAAATAAAATGTACAGCAACAAAATCAATAGCTCCGCATCAGAGGATTAATACAAAAACTTTCTGCCACTTCTAGAAGAGAAGTATTAGAATAAAACTGTAGCTATTTCTCCTGGAATTTTTAAAAAACAAGGTGTTTTCCCCCCCTCATAACCTTGCTTTCCTTCATGGGTGTGACATCTGGTGACAATGCTTATGATGGGATGAGTAATGAGGGGAAGCACCAGATGATTGAATGTGGGGGACCTAGATTTTATGGGCTCCTTCATCTTTAAAATACCTGAATCTGTGGAAGAGGAAAGATGGCAGAAAGCAGCAACGGGAGTTGAGGGAACCCAGGTTTTATGGGCTGTGTATCCCTGAAAATAGTCTGAAACTGCAATGGAACAGCAGCAGTAAAAGGTACTGGCAAGCAGCTGAAATTGGTGGAATCCTGGGTTTTATTGGCACTCCACCAGGTATAGTCAACAACTCAGGAGTAGCCCAGAAGCAGTCTGAAGAAGTCCTAGAAGCCTGGAAGCATATAGGTCATATAGAGTGAGGTGCTGCAATCCTGTCTGGCCTTAGAATGTATGGATCTATGAAACATGAGGTATAAGCAACAGCTGGAGCCAAGAAAACCTGAATTTTATGGGCTTACATGAAAGCAGTGAGGCCACATTGAAGCATTGTCAATGGGGGCCTGAAGCAGTGGTTGGAGCGGAGGGAGCCTACATTTGTGGTTTCCCTGGAAGCAGTCTGGGCTGAGTTAGGTATGTGTGCATTGGGATGCACCTCGAGTTCTGACCCAGGTGTGTTCTGAGTGACTGTGCTTCATATCTCCAATCCATTTTATAGGCAAAATCCATTACATTCCCCATTTCCCCTCTTCCAAGTAACCACCTTCTAATCCAGCATCTTATCTATTTATTTTCCTTTAGGCTATGAACTGGTGTCCATGGCAGTCAGAAATCCTTGCGACAGGAGGTGGAATGAAGGATGGATTTTTACGTATCTGGGACGTAAGCACTGGGAAAATCATCGAAACTACAGACACAAAATCTCAGGTGAACTCATAAAATATTTTCACACTTAAGCTCTGTGAGCTGCACTCACCTCGAGTACAGCTATATTTGTCTGGCAAAACTCCCATTGACTTCAATGGGAGTTCTGTGTACAGAGTGGCTGCAGGGTTCTGTCTGTCTGTATATATATTTTGACTACACTCAGTGCTGTGTTATCTCGTTGGGCTCAGGATCATTCATTCATGTGCCAGTCATCGCCACCCCTGTTTCCTCACAACTTTTAATCTGGTCAGAGAGGAGATAACAGGAAAGTGGTCTCATAGCAAGGCCATGTGCTATCCATCAACCCTGGTATTGACCAAATGCCTAATGAGGAAAGGAAGATGTGAGAGAAGCAGGTTTCCCAGGAACCATGAGAGCACTAGAGTGGGGAGAGGCATGAGGAGTCAGAGAACAACAATCAGTCTCCGTAGGTTGAATATGAGAAGATAGTGGGACAGATTCTCAAGTGGTGTAAACTGTCATGGCCCCATTGATTTCTCTGGAGCTATACCGATTTCCATGAGCTGAGTCTGTGGCTGAGGATTTTGTTTTTAAATCTGGCAGGATGCCATCCTTTTTAGAAAGGATGATAATGCAGCTGCACTCAGCAACAGTCGCTATAGAGGGAAATGAAATAATCCTTCCTACATGAATATGGAACTATTTTTCTGTTGTTGCTCAGGCACTTGTACACTTTGAGCATTTACTAAGAACATTGTCAGTCTAAAACAGTTGAATGGTACATGTAGATCCTTTAAAAAGATTAAAATGATTTTTTAAATTACACTAGATTTGCTCCCTGTTCTGGTTACCCAAAACCAATGAATTAATGACCGGACAAGGTCTCCCTAAAAATCAGATGAAAATATGGAAGTATCCCACACTTACAAATTCAACTGATCTCTATGGTAAGTATTTCAGTAAACCAGTTTTTATCTCCCTAGTTGCACTTTCTCTCGCTCTATATATGTAATCTATGTATTTACACACACACACACACACACACACACACACACACACACACACACACACACACACACAACAAATAAAAC